TAGCCATTATTTTGGGCTACAAGTCCAAAATAATGGCTGTGTGGCTGGACACAACATGGCACGATTGAACCCAATCGAACCGTTGTACCTAGGATTTCTATCTGCTAATGTGTGGTCTCTCAGGTTTTGAAAATGGGCCGAAAATCGGCCGACAACTGTCATGTGCACTGGACATTGCACTAAGGAAATTAGGAAGGGAGGGGTCAGTGGAGAGCACTGGAGTTGAGCCGTTTTTCATTCAGTGTCATCAAGAGAAAGAAAAAAAGGCAGGAAGAGACGATAAAGCCGATAATTAAAATGAGGTCGATGGGTTTAATTTATCATGCGATTAATTGATTTATCATTTATTGCGACAGGCCTAATGTTATACGTATTAATCTATAAATGTTAATGCATAAATGATTCAGGGCAACAGTGGACAAATGTGACATTTGATGACCCCCCATATAAATCATGCAGACACTTAAATATAAGTTGGCAAATCCACATAGAATTGCACAAATTCCCAGGGCCAGGCAAATAAATATTTATGACTCCACCAATTCCCCTGTTCTCCCTGTCTTTGGTAATTGTATGCAATTCATTTAGTTTTCTCAGTGGAGGAGGGAAAAATCAATCTTCGGTTATTGGCTAGGGGACATAAAGCGTGTTGCTTCTAAATACTTGTGGTTTTGCAGAATATAAAAGCTTCACAGATACGTTCCCTGGACGGATTCATTTTATTCTTTCGCACATTTCCCCATGTTTTTATTTGCCATGCGGGTATGAATCATCTGCTCTAGCCTGACCGACTTTTAATAGGACGATGTTGGTGTAAAAGGGTGTAGGATACACAATCCTAGCACTAGCAATTCTTGTTTGTATAGGTTATTTCATAAATACAACATTTTCACAAATTACTTTTGTCAAGAACTATTCTTGGATTCATTCTCTTCTCCTTTGTTTTGAAAGAAAGCTTGGACTTTTGAAGAAGCTTTTGCCTTTGATGTAAACCCAGGGGAGCTGTTTTTGTCGTTATGTATCATAAAACTACCCATTTCACGTTTCTTTACCTCAACAAATCATCAAAGTGCCTACATCCTGACAAATTGAAAATTCCTTTGTGGTTTTACTTCATCCACAATTAACTGTTTCTACCGTCCTATACTTTTAAGAGGCCCGACTCTAGGTTCTGACCGTGTTTACAAAAATAATGTTCTAAAGCCTGACTTATTCCCCAAACAGACTGTGCAACAAAACTATGCGACTAAACAAGATGTCGATCTTTCATTTCTGTTGTGACAAAGTTGCCAAACAGCTGTAATTACGAAGACATTAAAAAATAACAGGATTTTCTTTAAATTTATCTCTGACCTGGCAATGTGATAAAGAGACTTGCTGTATTTCACAAATTCCCCGATCATCTCGGGTCCTCAGAGCCAAAGGGCTGCAGAGCGCAGCTTCACCTCACATTTGTGGGGCTGTTGCTGACTAAACATGAGTGTTTATGAAATGGAGGTTTCAAATATAGCCCAGGGCTTAAGACAGGTTCAGCTTATCATAAATGTGTTAGTAGAAAACACATGAATAGAGACCAAATGCTGATTTGCTTAATGAACCTCTAGACATTTTGTAACTTTTTAAATTTAAAATATGGCTTCCTGACTTCTGCCCTCCTGTATATAAAAAAATAAAATAGCCTAATTAATTAACTTTCTACCTTTTTTTGTTTTGCTTTTTTATAAATTACAACTCCAATATGGTATTTTTGCTTAAAGTTATCATAACAGTGGAAATACATAGCACAAAATGTCTCAAACCAAGATCAGATTATCAGCATACAAATCAGCATAAATGAGCTTGTTATCCAAAATTCATACTTGCTGTTTTCCCCTTTGTCCTACGATGGCTCCTTGGGCAAAGGCTGAAAAAGAAAAGTACACAGCAAATTCGGAAGTGTCAGATTTCCAGTGCAAGTGTTGTATGTTAAAAATACAGTGTTAATTCAACAACATGAGTGTGTTATACAAAAAGCAATCTAGTCCAGTGTTGATTTCTAAATAAACTCAGTATGGTGCTGATTTAGAAATCAACATTAGACAATTCTTCCCACAATTGTAACATGTTTGTGACATATCAGGGAAGGATAAATAGATAGGGTAGGGGTTGCAGCAGGCCCCCCCAGCCTGAACCTAGAGGTAGAACATGCCTTCAAAGACCCAAAATTATGAGAGGCCCCATAGGCCAAAACCTACAAACCCTCTTACACGAACTATCAAACTCTCTCACATTCGCTATCAAACCTACAAACTCTCTT